GCGAATATTTTTATTTTATTTAAACTACAAAAACAAATTGATCGCCGCCACTGCACCAGTCTAATGATTTTCATGAGCTTTGTGAATCACTTTAGAAAATCCTTTTACATTGTTAAATAAATGTACAAGAATTAAAATTTCAATTCGGAAAGATAGTACTAATAATGTAAATAAGCTGGCAAGATTATTGGAGTTTACTTGCTCTATCGTAAAATGATTTTAAACAAATGCAAATTGTGCATATATCTTCAACATTTGAATGGTACACTACACAACAAGAGGTTAGATGTTGTGACTTTTGGTACAAGATTTTCTTGATATTTTGCTATTCCATATGACTATTTGTAATTCTGAAGAACAAATTTATATACTTAAATTATGAACTTCAGTAAATATTTAGATCAATTCTGAATTGACAAATTTTCACTAGTTAGCTTATGGAAAAGAAGCCATGAGTGCTACTAATTGGCATATCACAAAGTAAATTTGTATTGAAATCACAGCCAACTTGACATTCAAATGCAAACCTGTTTTTGTCCAGCAAAATCATCAATGTTACCTATAATTTTTGTGCAAAGTATCTTTAAATACTATAAAAACAGTTCATACCAAATACTCAATTTAAAATAATTTACAAAAATGTGACTGGAAGGCCATAGTTTATGCATTCCTCTCTTCAACCAACATCACAATGACAGAGGAATATTTCTAATGACATCCTGCAATGTAAAAGTCCTGAAGGAAATTTCACTCATTTCATTTGTACCAATTTCATATAAAATTGCAAAATTCTGAACTTTCTTTCTGTTCTCAATTGTCTCATAGTACGCTAAATCAGAATATCCACTCGATCCCTCATGTAACCGCCACGGTTCACTCCAAGTCTTCAGACTGTTGGTACTCAATCGAACAGAAAGACGGGTTCTGTCTGCCATGTTTGCGGGATTTGAAAAAAGCACCCATGTTTTGTGAACATCATCTGTTATGTTGGTACCAGGTGGTGCTGGAAATGCCACCATACTACCCTATTATAAATAACAACAAAATTACATTGTAAGCTAGCAATTCACCAACATAATATTTTTGGTCAGCATTCTACAGACAATTAGCATACAACACTTGATTGCTATGTGCCATCCACACCAGACCTTTTGGTAATGATAATGATTTTAAAAAACTGACTAGTGGATCATTTGGGTCATGCTTGTCATTTTCACATGCATTTGACAAATATAAAATAATACTAGTGATGTACCGGTAACATCAAGTGTATTCACACAAATAGGTGACTAGTAATGTACTGGTAAAATCAAGTGTATTCACACAAATAGGTGACTAGTATTGTACTGGTAACATCAAGTGTATTCACACAAATAGGTGACTAGTATTGTACTGGTAACATCAAGTGTATTCACACAAATAGGTGACAAGTAATGTACTGGTAACATCAAGTGTATTCACACAAATAGGTGACTAGTAATGTACTGGTAACATCAAGTGTATTCACACAAATAGGTGACTAGTATTGTACTGGTAACATCAAGTGTATTCACACAAATAGGTGACAAGTAATGTACTAGTAACATCAAGTGTATTCACACAAATAGGTGACTAGTAATGTACTA